AAGACACTGGCACAGATTGCCTAGAGAAGCTATGGATGCCCCATCCCTGGAAGTGTTCAAGGCCAGGCTGGATAGGGCTTGGAACAATCTGGTCTAGTGGAAGATGTCCCTGCCCACAGCAGGGAGTTGGAAGGAGATGATCTTTTAGGTCCCTCCCAACCTAAGCCAGTCTGTGATTCTATCATCTGCCAAAGCAGCCCCAGCAAGCTGAAAAAGGATCATGTCAAACATGACAACAAGAAAATATAAAAGCCATGAAAACAACCTGTCAAGAGAGGAGCATGTCAGCTGGGATGTGGGGAGCAGGCAGGACTCAGTCACTGTCCCCTTTTTGGGCTCATCTCCACAGAGACATCTGGGGAGAAGATATGAATCCCAAGGGAGAAACAGATGCATCTACCTGGATGCAATATTCTGCCTGCATGCTGCAGAGCTGAGGCTCAGCCCATGCTGCCCAGGTCTACCCCTGCTTCAGCCATCCCCACCACCCCTAATCCTGCCTTTCCCAGCGTTTTTTCCTCCCTCTGCAGCTGCCTATGGGGCCAGGCAGGGGTCAGGATATGCCTCTAATCCTGCAGCCTCCCGTCAGCTGACCCTGCTGGCTCTGGGTGACACATCCTGGGTGGGAGCCAGAGCCCCACTGGTGCCCTACACTGTTTCTTGCTGGGCTCCTCCAGCAGTTGCCAGTGTGCCGAGGGGTCAGGAGAGCATGGACGGGGGGTGCCCAAGTGGGAGACCAGAATGCCTGGATCGAGTGTGCACAGCATGTGGCACTTGTCTCCCGGGTGCAACTGGGGCCACCACTGCACCTTGATTCTGCAGGCCTCCCTGCAAGAAGGGGAACAGCAGCAACATTTTTGAGTTGCAGTATCTCCTGCTGTAATTTCTGTAAGGTCAATCGCAGCTGAAGAGTGGCCAAGCACCTTTCCCTGTGCCCCAGGCTGGGGCAGACAGGGAACGTGGGTGGAATTTTGTAGAAGAAATGCCTAGGGGACATTCCTTTGTAAAGTCTTACAGACATTCCCGAGAATACCCCAGTTGCCATTCACTGCCAAAATCCTTGCGGCTGCCCCACACCATCCTCCAAGCCCCTGTAACAGCAAAAGGTACGCTGGTTTGTGGTGGGGTTGTGCAACCTCCCTCTGACTGCCAGTCCCAGTTCCCGGGAGCTGCCTCCTCCTGCAGCCGAGGTCCCTCCTCTGCCCGCGAGCGCTGCCACAGGGAGAGATGGAAAAGTCATTCGGCATCCCTCCGAGCTGCTTCCCTGCTTGCACGGCTGACCGCCTCCAGCACCGCAGGCTCCTAACCTGCCCAAGGAGAAACCGGACCAAAACAAGCATTGTGGGGGTAGACAGAAAGCAGCCAGGGATATTGAAGACTGGAGCAGAGAGCCAGCAGAGTGAAAAACAGCCACGTGGGGACTGTGAAAATCAGAGCTGAAGAGAGGATGATGGGAAAGGTCTAATAAAAAGTCACAGTATACAAAATACACAAGCACCCATCTCCGCCAGGACGGCTGTGGGAACGGATTTTGGTGTAATCTCTGGCTATTGAGGTTGTCCAGGCAGACACAGTCTGGATATGTAACTGGATCAGGATTAGACCTGATTTAAGAAAAAATCTAAGGAAATCTTGGATTAGACCTAATATAAAAAAAATCTAAGGAAATCTTAGATTAGACCTGATCTACAGAAAGCTTAGATTTTTTTGCTCTGTCAACTTGAAAGACAATGCTTTCCCTCACAGTGTTTTGTTACTACGTGGAAGAAATCAAGGGAGGCCAGTTGGCTGTAAGAGGATCCTCCAGCCTCAGGTAGCTCTCAACCACATCCACATACCATATGGAAAAGCATCTGCTCAGCCCCAGAAAACCTCCCCCAGTCTCATCCTAGCATGCAAAAACCTCAGACCAAACCTGTGCTGAGTTCCCTCCCCACACTTGGCCCCAGCACGGCGCAGGCTCTGGGGGTGGTGAATAGCTACAGTCATTACTACCATTGAGCCTTAGGGTCTCTTTCCCAACCTGTGCAAAGTTGTCCCAGGTCAGTCTGGCAGACAGTGGGGACAGAAGGAATCACGCAGGTTACCTATCAGACAGAGGGAACCGAGTGATTAATTACCCAGAAAGGTTGTGCTAAACTTGGAGGCTGTGTCCTCCCCACCAAGACACTGCTGGAAAAGCCCACTGTGACCCCTGAGCTCAAAACACTCAATGCCAAGGAGCGACGCGTCACAGGTAGCCACACCCACCCCCAGCCCAAGTGATCTGAAGTAGCAGCTTCCCAGTCAAAGGAAACTTATATTTCCTTATCGTTTGCTATAAATACAGCTGCGCTGTTTTCCTGACCGTGTTATTCCTACAGTCCTTATCACACACACTCAGATATCCACAGCGCAGTCACACACTTCACAACCTTCTTGCTCTCCTATTCCCAGCGTTTCCAAACCATTTACGTTCACAGCCCCCTGTGTTCTGAAGCTCTTCTATGGCAACGGGTGACACTGCCCTGGACCTCCACATCCGCACTGAACAGGTCAGCAAATGAACTTGTCTTCCTTTTCCCCTTCTCTGCCATGCAGGGACCTGGCTCGCAGCTCGGGATGAACTCAAATGTCACTTCTGATAAACATTTATTTTTGCTGAGGAGTACGATGTGTTTATAGGCAGTGAAGTGGGCCAGTGAGAAGCAACAGGCATGCGCCAAGTCTTGCAACATCTTGACGCTTCTGAATACCTTGGTCTCCCGCAAAAGTCACGTTGTATGGTCCCTGGGGCATTTTAAACACAAGGGGGAAAATGCACTGGGGAAAAAGATTCCCAAGGTCTCGGGCTGGAAAGAGAGACCACGTTGAAACAGCGTGACAGTCCATTCAGGTGGCCTGTGTTGCATCGGCCTGGAGACCAAAGGGAAATACCCTGGAGCAAAGGGTCTGAGAAGAGACAGCAGCTGGCTGAAGGTGCCTTCATTTCTGCACTGCTCCAAGACAATCAAGACCTCACCTGCCACAACATCAGCTTTAGACCGTGGTCTCATTTCCCTCGACAGATTAGGTGACAGGGTGGGGGAAAAATTTACATACAGTACCCGTACCTGTTGAATATTTGATGAAGACGAGCAAGTTTAACAGGTAAAAAGGCAGCCTGAACCTTTATGAGACGATACTACAGTCCTCCTGAATCAAAGCTGTCATTCAGCAATACTATGAGCTTAACTGGATGAGTGGGCACCCAAGTGCTAGGAGAAATCCATCACCAACTGCTGCCAAGCCTTCCCACGGGATGTGGGTATCTGTAACCAAGTATTATGACCTTGATGCTAAAATACTTGGGCGATTCATCTATCACATGCCTGGTGCAGGGGGTCACATTCAGATGGCCTCAAAAATCAGTGAATCTCTTTTTTCTCTGCTCTGCATTCAAGTTCTAAGTTTCCTTCTCCAAGCTGGCTCAGAAACACCAGGAGGATATTCATTCCTGTGGTTTTATGGCATTTATATGTCGAGTCTAGGCAAGAACTTGAAAATGGAGTAGGGCTATGATTTGTGTTCCCATTGGAGGAAAAAGTTTGACATTTAAAAACAGTTGAGCTCAGTTTTGATCTGTTCTTTAGAGAATAGATACTTAGAAGAATAGACACTTAGAAGACATTTCATTTGTACTATCTTTTAAATTTAAACTAAAATAGCTCCAGTTGTTTCTTTCTGGGACTAAAAAGGAAGTCCAACAGTCCTGATCCAGAGTAGTCAAATCAGGCTTTTTCCAATTTTCTACAAGTCTGGATCCTGGATTTTAGTTCTTTTCCATCATAAACCTGTACAACTTTACCTCTTGCTTTTACAAGCTGCCACCTTGCAAATCCATTTTAATGTGGCAAGAGACTGCCTCCTATGTCTCTACACAGGTCTAAATACAATGATTTTGTGACGTTACTTACGGCAAAGACAACCCCCCATAATTTCCACCACTATCCCACTGCTGACCATATTTGTATACACTTTGATATGTGTACTACCAGACACTGTCAAACACCTCACATTGGGCACCAAAGAGAACCAAAGGAGAAACCACAGAAAATAGAAACGCTGCTTGCATGTGCTCGTCCAGACACAACTTCCCCTGCCTCTTTCTTTGCAAAATGAGCTTCAGGTACCCAGTTTGGATATACAAATTTAAACTGTCCCAAAAATTCAGCTGAGGATGTGAGTGGTAGCTGGCACTTCTCTGTTTTTTTTCTACACAATCCAATGCATCAAAAGACAATGAGGAAGGCTGAATGATTCATGGTCATGGAATGAAATGCCATTCACAAATGTTTTTTCCATAGCAATTTGTCACTTATTGTATTGAAACCACTTCAGATGTGTCTCAAAGAGCCTTTTGATATTAGCATGATTAAAAACATAATGCAATTAAGCAATCCCATAATATTTCTGTATGTTATACAAGTAGGACCTCGAGTGACCACTTCATTGAACCCCCTCACAAATGAACAGTTCTAGCATAAGGCTGTTATTCTGCAAGAGGCCTCAGATAGTGGTACAGCACCAAGGAATTCAAATCTTCTCATCCCAGAGGCATTCTGGCTCACCAAAATCCATCTGTTCAGCTTTGGTGTTGGGTCTAGCCTACATGTCTCAAACCTTCCAAAACCAGCCAAGAAAGATGCACCTCCCCAAGAGCCACTCTGCCCACTTCAACACTGATGTCTAAAATCACTGGGAATATTTGCCCTCTAGATGTTATCTTTCTCTCTTTATTGTCCGTCTAGAGTCTATCTGGACGTTTGACACTTGCCCTGCTGTTCCTGTCCCCTGTTGGTATTTAGGCACATACCAAACTTGTTGCGCACCCCTCCACATCGAATTCCCATATCTAGAGCGCACTCTGATGCAAACATGCACAACTTTGCACTCATACATGACACAGCATTAAAAAAGCCTTCAATGAGATGTGGACAAAAAAGGTCCCTCCAAAGTGCCAGCTTTCCCCACATCCCTACCTGCCGGGCAGTTGCATCGCTGGTGTGTGTCTCGAACTTCTCGATGTCTCGGCAAGTGAAACTTCAATTTCTGTCAAGAGAGGAGAAACAGGAAAAGGATTAATTTATACCATCAAAACCAAAGCCTCAAATTCTTGGAAAAATGGGAGTTGGGAGGGGGGTGCCCAAGAAATGGGAAAGACAGGGCAGAACAGTTTGGGAACGAAGAAAGGCATTAAAGTTCACAGTATTTAACTAGAAATGTGGGGTTTGATTAAAAGCAGGCCAAGGGCGTTTCGTAATGGCCTCCAAATGTGGTCCTTACAGGCATTACAAAACCAAGAGCTGGCACTGGCAAATAAATTGGTGACTGCGTCCTTGTGAAAAAGCTGCGTTTCTCAGCAGACTCGCTCAGCAGACAAAACCCGAAGATCTGAAGCAGGTACTCTTCCCCCCTGTGGCTCCTTATGCTCATGGAGACACCCGGATGGACGGGAGGGTCCCACCAAAATATTGTGGCTGAAGGTGAACTGAGAACAGCAACAGCATCTCCTGAAACCTTCAGAGGCTGTGAAACTTAACTTTTTTCCAAGTGCAGAACAGAACAAAACCTATCAAGAGCTTCCACAATGTCGAATTGCATCAGAATGTCCATTTCCCGTGAGTTTGGATTTCTAATGGTGCCAGCATGTCAGTCTCCTGCTCTCTGGGCCCACCTGTGTATCTCTTAAAGGGCCAATAGAGTCCACCTGAGGTCACTGAATCTTCCCTCACTGGAAATGTCATTAAACTTAACCCATGTCCTGAGCATCCCCACCGCCCCTCATAGACTGTATTAAAATAGCTGTAATTTATTAAAGAAAATGCAAATCAACCCAAAGAAGTTATTCATTAATGCCTGCAAAGTACACTTGGTTAATGATTTGAGATGATCTGAGAAGGCTGAGCTGCTGGGCTGCCTGTGCTAATGAGTCACTCCCTGTTCCCTTCTAACCCTCAAGCCCAGCTTCCCATCCCAGTTACACCTTCCTGCTGTTTGACCTACTTCACAACTGGGCCAACATTCCAAAAGAAATATTGGGTGCAACAGAAGCCCATGCCCAGGATCATACAGAAATGACTTTATTTTCACAAGTAATCGAGCACCTTCCTGAAACATCAGTTAGGGGGAAATTCCTTTTAGAGAGGAAAAAAGTAAAGCAACTTGGTTCTGCCTGGATGAGGGAAGGCAGAACTGGCTGGAACACTTCCATTTTTTCACTTTGAAATGACTGGCTTCCTTATTGCAAGTCAAAAGCAGTAAGGGTTGTTGTGACTGACTAGAAATTGAGTATTTTCAGTGCTGAAACATTCTGACAGAGAGTTGACTTGATATCAGGGTGACGAGGGGGGTTCAGGTGAGAATTGCCAGTTCCCGTAGAGCATTTTTACCTGTGTTTACCTTCTCAGTTTAAAAGCACTGATATGTGAATCTTTGCATTTGGGCACATTCCCATGTAGCTGCCACCTCCCCAATGGCACAGTTCTGCTCTGCAGCACTGAATCACTTTGTGCTAATGGTCAAACATGGGCACAAACAGGACAGAGGAGCCTTTATTTGGATACTCACACTGGTATGTAGGCATACACGTTCCCATTTCCATCTACACACATGCCAACCAAAATGTCTCAACATCAGACCACCACATTTGGGTGGCTTTCCCATGTTTGGGAATCGGCCTCAGCACAAGGGAGGGATGATGGGTTGCAGAGGCAGGAGCAGAAAGCCATTTCCTAAGCAGTAAGGATCCAAACACCCTGGCTGCAGCAGAACCCTTTGTAGGACAGAAATCTGCAAGGAAACCTGGAACAGATCGCTGCCCCATTGAGTGCAGAGGCACTGGAGGGGCTAAGGGGAAAGGGCCAAGTTTGGGTGGGCTGCAAGAAGCCTTGGCTGAGTTGCTGTGCTAGCACAGAAGAGCAGCAATTGGACTTGTCAGGGAAGTGATGACCCAGCAGGACTTCAGCATAACCGGGAACGGAACCAGAGCAATAACATTTCCCCAAGGCTTTATCTGCAGGGTCAGGGTCCTGGAAAGACCTGGGACTACTGAAATAGCCTTAAGGATGGGGAGGCCCTCAGGAGGAAGGTGCAGGAGCTGCTGGGCAGGGATGGGAGCACAGCCCTTTGCACCATGACCATCAGCCATCAGGCGCTCACCGGCATTTGGCATTTTCCTCATCCTTGGTGCCTCCCTTGAGTCCAAGAGCTCTGCACATCCCTGGGGAATACAAAGGGCAGTGGTGCCGTGGGATTGCTCCCCTTCAGTGGGAGGTAAACCCTACCAGGAATTTAGGAGCACCTGGAGTTCAGTTTCCTGCACGGACTGAAACACGGAAAAAAATCTTTGGCTTCTGGAGACCTCAATTCAACTTTAGGTTGAGATGGTGAAACAAAACAATTTTCTGTCCTTTTCTGCTTCCCTCATACCACTGTACAAAATATCGCCTGGTCCAACATAAGCAGCTGCCTTTGCTCAGGACAGCAAAACAAATGGGCTTCCCTCTAAAAATGGTGTTTTCAAGGGAAAACTTTCATTCCCAGGCAACACAAAACCATTCAATTTTAGGGCAAGGTTGGCTTGTGTAAGCAAAATTAAAAGAAGGTGGGGCTCTGGAAGTCTAGGCTTTGTGATCTCCTTCCTGGGAACTGGGGTTTGCTTTTTCACCTGGGGGATACCTGGAGCATGTAACACCAAGAGCAGCAACTGGCTCCCTCTTGCCTTGGCAGAAACGCTGAAAACACTTCCTCTGGAGAGGACTGCCTTGTCAGCAGAGCCAGCTTGCTCTTGCCTGTCATGTTTTCCAGTGACATAACAGCTGCACCTTCCCTCTGCACATAGGAACGTGGTTGAAAAAGCATTCGCTAGCGCTGGAGCCAGAGCTGACCAGCTCCAACTGGGCACCCCTGTGTGTTTAGGGAGCTATCACACATCACTGAGCATCAAGGAAAGGGGGAAACCCTCTGTCTGCAAGAGGGAAAGGCAAGGAGGGCTGGGCTGACACATGTGCTGGGAATGGCAGTAAAGCCAGCATGGGGTTTTCCCGTGGGTGAACTTACTGCAAGCATGACAGGACAGGGCTGACAAGGGCAGACAGAGCAGAGAAAGCAAGAACTCTTCTGGCATTAAAGGACCATGGCTGTGGTCTCCTAAACCTTGCAAGTGCCTGTCTGTTTTGGAGGGGCACTTAAGATCAGGGGAGAGGGAGGGCACTTCTTCAAAGGGGGCAGATTAATAGCTCTTTAGCATTCCCAGTTGTTTGCAGTCACCCGGGGAAGGTGAAATCATTTCCCACCACTATCTCCAACAGCTAAAAGAAACACATCTTAAATAGATAATCTATTACAACCATCAGGGGGATTTCAAGGGTGGGTGGTTTTGTTAACTCTTATTGTTTTATCTCCAATTTCACTGTTTTTTCTTAAAGGCCCAGCTCCTGGAATCACGGGACCATGTGGCCCAGAGCAAAAGCAAGCAGGGAGTCCTCCCAGATAGAGCAAAAAGCTTGGAAATAACACCATCTAGGTGCAGGGATTGCAAGCAGCTGAAAAGAAACAGGACTTAGCTACCAGAGAATTGGAAGGAAAAAATAGATCTGGTATTTTGGGATGGAAAACACTAAGCTGAAGATGGAGGACAGGTTGAGAGCAAGCTTGCAGACACTGGGAAGCAGAATTGAGCAGTGTGCTTTGAGATACTGAATAAAAGCAGAAGAAAAAAAGCTTTAAGTTGGGAGGGAAAGGGAGTTTTCAGCTGTCCCTCCTTTGCTTGCACAAGTAAGGAAAGAATCCCAGTGAAATGAGACTATTGGGAAAGCAGTGAGGATCGATGCTCCCTCCCCATTCACGGGCACAGTCCCTGAAACCCTTCAGCATCTCTAAAGCCACAACAAATACCTTCAACACAAACCCCTGAGAAGCTGAGCATGCTCACCACGGTGCAGAGGGGCAGCTGATCTTCCTCCAGGCTGCACAGGATACCTGCTGTTGTGTTACACATACACACTTCTATCTCTACAAGCTCACAAATTCGGAGATTGTTTTTCCTAGCAGCAGCACTGAATCCATCCTGTTCTCCACCCTGACGAGCTTTCGGCAAATGAAATAGTACCAAATGTTACCCAGCATGGTAAAGGACCTTGTTTTCTTCTTTGGAAAGCTTTGCCTCTCCTGCGAATATGAGTTTATTTGTGCTCTTTGTATGATTTTATGATGTCCCATAAATGCAGAGGAATTCCTACGTGAAGGTAAAGTTCCCCCTGAACTACCTATTTCTGGCCCATTCTGCACAGATGTTTTTGTAGGAAAACCCAGTCAGTTTGTGTCTGGTAGAAATTCCCCTCGGGTATTCGCCTACACCAGGCAAGAGGTTTACACAGTAGCAAGTGAAGCACTGGTCAGGCTGCCTCTGGGAAAGCATCTGCCGCCCTCTCTTTGCTCCTCCTGAACTGCGATGGAAACACTGACACAGCACCAGTGATGCTCAAAAACCAGGCTCCAAGATCAAGAAAACACCCCCACCAACTGCCTTAAAATTAACATTTTAAGCAAACCAACTCAGCTCCTCTCCCTGCCAGTTTGCTTTATTTTTGCATGTCTAGAAGAAAGGCACCTAACAGAGCTTTGGCATTCTGCACTTTTCACTGCACTCTGTATGGTGTCCCTCATAGACCCTTGGGAACATCCAGGGCACACCTGGGCACTGACTGGAGAGCATTACACACTCCAGCTTGGAGTACAGAGCAGTACCGGTTTTGAGCATAACCTTAGAGCTCCTCTATATTAGCCCTTACAGATTTGACTTCTTCATTTTTCTCCAGCTGATCTTCACAGCTATCAGAGCTAGAAATGAGCTCCTGTGCCGTGGTTCCCCTTACCTCCCACCTCCCTGCCTGCCTCAGACCAGGTTTTTCCAAAGCTGGGGTTCCTTTAAGCTTTGCTGTTTTATTTTGTGATGGATAACACTGAGCTGGCAGCTGTGAAACCCATTAAGGTCGAAACACCAGAAAACTCTGTGAGGATGTGGCAATGAGAGGCAGCGAGGGTCTGAGCAGGGGAGAATGAATTTCACGTCCATCACGGCAGCCCATTCACAGCCCCTCTCCTCCAGTCGTGCTCAGAACAGTCTTTTGCCTTCCTTATTTTTTTTCTCCCATCCTTTTTCTGCTCCCCTTTATCTTCCCTGTTTTTCTCCATCCTTGCCCCTTGCCAGCCAGACCTATCCCACTTAGCCCCACTTCAGACACAATGAGAAGGAGGACCAGGGGGATTTGTTTTTCTTTCCTAAGCAAAAGCCCCATATGCCATCTCACCATCTGTCCACCAGCAGACCCCCACCCTGGACCTCGAGCCACTTGGCCCATGACAGTGCTTCTGGCTGAGTGTGGAGACCTGAGGTTTAGGAGCCTAGGGGAAGTGGGCAGTGGAGCTGGGGAAGGTGTCCTGCCCAGGGGGCACAGCTCTCCTCTCTCCATTGGCAGCAGCCCTTCCCAGGTGTAAAGGGACAGGAGACCTGGGCCAGGCATCCCTGCTCCTCCACAGGCTCTGGCACTTTCCTCCAAGCACTTTTGGAAGCTGTGACCCAGCATGGAGCTGTTAACCCTGGTGGTACCCGGGAGCAAGTGCTGGCCCCTCAAGCCATCGCTCCTGTTCCACGGCTGCTCCCCATACTGGCTGTGAGGGAGACTGTGCCATGCCCAGGGGCACAGGAGGGACTGCTCAGAAAACAGGGGCGCTGCCTGGCACACGGGCACCATGAGAGCCCCATTTCCTCGCTAAGCCAAGCTATAAAAAGGCGGAAAGGCGGAAAGGTGCCATGGCCAGCAGAGCCCGCAGGACACAGGGGGCCATCCGGCCTCGGGCACTGCTCCCGGCAGGCATCCTGTAGCACTTCTCAAATCACTTGGTAGAGATAAACTGCGACTTCCCAGCAGACTCATGCCAGCAGCAACAGGGGGATCGCTGGACGTTATCCCCTGCCTGGTAGTGGGGAAGGAGTTCCAGCCACTTGCAGTGCTTCTGTTTCCCCAAAAACCTTCTTTTAAGTGGGGTACTACCCCATGGACCCTATCTTCCCCTTATTCCTCATCTAAAGAGACAACTCAAAACCAAATCCTTCAGCTCCTGCAGTGTTTGCTAACTCGAGGTTCACAGCTTTTGGCTGCAAACCCCAGCCGATCCAGGGCCTGCTCTCACAAGACTCATAAACAGAAGCCGAGCCTGTCAGCTGCAGGTTTAAACTCCTCACCACAGACCTTTGCCGCTCCTGGAAAGCAGGAGGGGGGCCGAGGTCACCCCAGGTACCAGGCAGCACTGCCCAAGGCAGGTCCCTATAGCCACCACTCGGATCATTCCATTCCTCGCCTCGTTTGGCAGTAGCAGCACAAGAGGGGTTTTTTTCAGACACAAACAGTTTTTGGGCTAGCCCCAGGGATCTCTCCAGCATGACTCAAGCCAAAGCTGGAGTAAACAGAGAAAATGAGAGGTGGGTGGAAACAGCTCCAGCCCTGAATTTCAGCCCCAAGCCTCCCCCAGAGCTGTGGGAACAGGTCAGTGTGGACCCATCTGAAGAGTTCAGAGACATGAACCACCATCTGCTCCCAGACATGTCAACACTGCTTCAAAGCCCAACAAGGCAAGGAATACTGTAGGATACTCATCCCGCACAGGGTAGAGAAGCCCAGACAGCCCCCCAGCAGCACCAACAGAGCAAAGGGCGTCACCAACAAAAATCTGCTTCTTTATTGACCTGCTGAAACCAGCACCAGCATTCCCCCATCCTCAGAGGAGAACCCACAGGGTCCAGTGGAGCTTGGATGGGGCTCAAGCAGGCATAACACAGGCATATGCTCTGCACTGATGCTCTGGCAGTACCAGAAGCCATCCTGGCAATGCCAGTGTGCCTCATTTTCCTGAGCCAGGAGCTGTAGAAGGGGTCAAGGCTGGCACAGCAGCAAAGCCAGCCCATCATAACACTGGGGTGTTTGCAATTACCTCCTCCCATAGAAGCCCTAGCTGCAATGTGCCATGCTTCTCCCTCTCCTGGGGCTCAGACACACACTGAATCCCCAGGTTTAACCTCTAGCTCAAATTCTTTCAGCAGGCAACACTACCAGACAGAGAAGGCTGGAGGTTCTTCCCTCCCTGCCAGGACCAGGGATGAGGTTTTCCTCTTTGCAAAGTGCAGGGTTCAGCCACAGTGTGGGCTAGGGAAGAGAGAAGCAAACACCAGGTGAGTTTGAGAGGTGGGAGGGACCTGGAGACACAAGGAATTCAACCTAGAAGCAGCATCACTTGTGCAGAGATAGGTTTTTAAGGCAGGAGAAAAAAAAAACGGATAACACAACTATGCAAGCATGCACGTGCCTAAAATCTACAGCACTGCAAACTATACATGCAAAATGAAAGGACACCGACCTCATCAAGCAGTTGGTCAACTCTTCCCAAAATAGCCGTCTCCATTTGGTCTGCTGAGAGCCAGGCAGGGAGCTGTGTGGGTCTGTCCGCTTCCAAGTGGGACACCCGGGACTGCAGATCGGAGGTCCGAAAGTACAGCAGGAGGCTCAGCACCAGAGAAAGCAGGGAGACGCCGGGCAGCCCCGAGCCCAGCAGGAGAGGGAGGCGGCAGCATCTCTCCCCATCGCCGGTCCTGGGGGGAGTCACACACCCCCTGTCAAAAGCTGCTTCGTCGACGCCTTTCCAGCTCTTCTCCTCCAACATTCCCTCCCTGTCCTGAGAAACAATAAATAAATAAATAGAATAAAGAAAGCCTCACTCCTACTCCAAGAAGCACAATCCAGAAGGCACAGAAAAAGAGCATCCAAGAGGATCCCAGTGCCAGCAAATGACAAATGACAGCAATAATGACAAAAGTGGATGGGGGGTGGGGGGTCTTTAAAAAAAATAAAAACAAACCACACACACATAAAAGAGGTGCAGAAAAAAAGAGATCCAACTGCAGCAAAGAGTGCGAGGGGGAAAAATAATCTGATCAAGATTTTTGTTTTTCCTCCTGTGTTTCTGTCTTTTGGTTCGCTGGGGGGTTTTTGATTCCTTCTAAGCTGCCCGTTTCAGTTCCTTCGCAAACTGGCCAGGAGCTTGCACATGAAAGTCCCCATTAGAGAGAGGTAATTCTCAGCTGCTCTGGCGACGTTGTGCTCTGGCTGATCGTGGCTCCCCTGTAACATGACACACTCCCTTCGAACTACGGGGCTGGGATGAGCGAGCTGCGCGGCTTCCCAAAGTAACCTCCTCTGCTCGCCCTCTCTCTCCACCTCTCCCTTGCTGCATGATTTATTTATTTATGCAAAGCGCCGGGGTGGGATCGGGCAGTGGGACGCCCCTGTCCCGCTCGGTCCCCAAAGCACCTCTCCGCCGCCAGTCCTTCCTTTGAAGTGACTCTCGCCGAGGTTATTTATAGTGGCAGGAAAGAGATTGTAAAGCAGAGGCTGGGCTCACACCAGCCTGCGTCTTCCTTTCCTCCCCGCAGCCGAGAGCGCTTTATAGGATGATGCAAAAGCCTTGTCGCGTCCCTCACGCAGATCCTGGGGCATCCCTGAGGCACCAGCGGCGGGGTATTTTGACCCTGATATTTTGAGGAGATCAGCCAGGCAGGGTGAGAAACAGAGGGAAACATTTGGAAACAAGACCTGGCAGCTGAGGGCTCTGCAAGAAACAAGCGAAGTGCAACAGGGAGAAACACCCCAGGCAGGCAAGCTGCAGTGCAAGGGGGGAACTTTTGGGGCTTGATTTGGGGGTACAGCCTGCCAAGAGCGTCCAGAGCAAATAATCTGCTGAGGCCCTCTAGTGAAGCAGAGTTTCTCGTCATCTCCTCCGTGTCCCGGCGGGCGCAGGGCACCAGACAGACAACCCTCTTTGGCAGGGAGCAGTCTCCCTAAAACGTGCTGTAGGGCAGCTCCGAGCCACGCGTCTGGGAAACAAAGTCTCTTTCTGTTCTTCAGGAGCAAGGGAGGCCCACCTCTCCCAATTTTTCTGAGCATAACATACAATATTTTATCCTCCAGGGTGACATGCAGGCTCTGCTGAGCCCCTGCCTGTCTGTCTGTCCATTCTTTGATCCCTTCCTTGAGCACGCTCAGCAGCAAAGCAGCACAGGGCTCACCATGGTGCACAGTCCTTAAAACCCAGGCAGCAAATTGGTCTCTTAAAATCTGGCTCCCTTGTGGCTCTTTCGCTGTCATTTACACATTTTAAATGAAGATTTTGCGTGCAGTCTGTGCTGGAAATTACTGGCAGAGAAAACTCATATTCATCTCTGGCCCGGTCTCTGTTTCAGAGGGCTGGAAGAAATAGACCTTCTGGGAGCAGGTTAACGCGAGCACGAGCTGTTTCTCCTCCACCAGACAAACCCTTGGAGGACCCGGTAGCACACAGCCCCAATTCTTTGAATGGCCTCATGCCTTTCACAGCCACTCACTTCCCAAAACGGGGCTTTAGTGTCTGCAAGGCAGGAAATCCTTCCTTTATTTCTTTTAGCAGGTTTCTTGTCATCTCGCTGCTCCAATTTGCGCTGCTGTTCCGGCACGCATGGAAAACACCTCTCTGATGGCTGCAGCCTTTCAACAGTTTCTCATATGAGCAGGGCAGAAACGTGTTACCCACAGACCTGGCACACACTGGGTGTCTGTTCGGAAGGCGCAGCCACCCCCGTCTCCTACCCCCTGCTCGGTCTCTTCCTTACGTTAGCAGCCAATTTCTTTGCAAAAGGAAAAGGAGTCCCTGAGGCTGTGGCTTTTCCAGAGATAAACCATGGTCCATGGAGTTACCGAAGATACCATCTGCAATCACAAAAGATAAGCAGACAGGAAGAAATGAAGAGGAGATGCTTAGAGGCTGATGATGCAGTGTTTGGGAAGCAGAGATCAGGGAAATGTCAGTTGGCAACCGGGGTGCTGAGCATCCTAGAGAGTGATGAAGAACACTAAGACTGAGGTTGAGCTACTGATGACTGCAGCTACCTGCCTGTGTTATACATTGTTTCACCTCAGACTGTCTCTCTCTATCTCCCCTTTATACCAGTCTAAGCACTAAAATCACAGAAAGCCACTCTCTAAGCTGAAAACGGAAATCTGCTGGGTGTCTACATCTCATTTCCCCACACTGGCTGAGGAGAGGTCTCTGCTCTTTCGCTCTTATTTGTGATAGAGACCCTGCTGTCCAGACACAAGCATCGGCTGAATGACTCTGTAAGTGCCTTTTCCTGCCTCCCCCACCAGCCCCTCTCCAGCTGATCAGCTCATTTAGGGGGTATGTCATGGATGCCGCAGGCTGGAGAGCCGCACTCAGCCGAGTTTCATGCGGAAGCCTTAGTTGCAGATGTGCAGGAGGGCAATTTTTCTATCCATGAGGCATTAAGGAGCCCTGTCATCCCATGCCAGTACAAATGGACTAATTTAGCTACGAACCTGAGCCAACCGCGCATGCCGCGTCTGCAGCGCTGCTCGACAAATGAGCTGCCTCCAGGGACGGGCCCCAGCATGTGGAGTCATCGCTCCACGAGGTGAGCACAGCTCAGCCTTCAGCTCTCCCCACAGCCCCTGAGGAGGTGGGTGCCGGCCTGAAACCTCCTGCAAGTTTGTGTCTCTTGAGGCTCCTTGAGTAGAAGCAGATGCTCTGTTACAATCAGGAGTGATTTCACTGACCGGTGACTCTTAGACCGCCTTCGATATGCTGAGCTTGAGGCTGTATCCCTCTCTCCTCAGGGAGGTTGATGCAATTCTTTACAAGGACAGTAACCACACACTTCCGCCACTTCTAGGAGGTCCTCTGGGGCGGTTATGGACCTCAGCACAAACATACAATGATATCTGGAGCAAATATAACCATATATACCTCCCAAAGCAGCTGAATTCCTCTGTTCAGCGAAAGAGTTTCCCATCTAGCACATGGCACTGGGGCAATTGATCAGTGACAAAGAGTTTGGCAAGCCTCCGGCTTGCTCAGTCTGTTGCTGGCACTGTCAGTTCAGCTTTCTAGGGGGCATTGGTATGTGGGTAAAGTTTGCCCAGCACTGCTCTGCAACAGACACACAATGCTCATAAAGGGGCACAATGTGTAAGGCAGGGCACAATGTGCTATCATTGCAACAGACCCTCTTTGACCCAAGGTAGGCACTGTGGACATGAACCACTCCATGCCACAGGCCAGAAATAGAAGAGCTGCACATGGATGAGGTTCTTACTTCTATAAGCACAGTTCAAGCCTGCCAGGTATCTACAGCTCGTCTTCACTTGGCCTGGAAAGGGGTGGATAATAGCAGCAGGCTTTCCTCACCTTCCTTCGCTTTAAGCACAACCTTTCCTTAAAGAAATAATGTGCCCTTCCTGTCACTAACTTGAAGTTGAAGCCAACTGCATGGAAACGGCTGTGTGCTCAATCCCACCAGCGACCTCCAAAACTGTCTGAGGAGAACTTCCCCTTTTCAGGTCATTTACTAGGGAGGAAAAACTCCACCCCAGTTCTCTTTTTCCTTTCTGTTCTTGTCCTCCCCCCGCCCAGGAAACGTGGGGGTCTTAGTGTGCTCGATGAGCCATTAACTAGCAGCCGACATCTCCAGCTATTGTAAATATATTAACTCAAGGCCTTTCGCTGCGTTTATTAGACTCAAGAACAACATCTGGAAACAGATGTTTTCTGAGCGCAAAGGCGAGAAGGGAGGAGAGTAAAAAAACGAGGCCAGGGGAGGACTCTTGCAAGTGGAAGTGCATGGTCTGCAGACCGTCCCTTTGCAAAATGCTGCTCACATGGAGCACTGCAAGGGGCCGAGGCGAGCGCAGCCGTGTCCCTCCCAGGCAAGGCAGTGAGAGTAGGATGTCTGAGGGGGGCTGCTTGAGAGAAACAGCAGTGGGGGAATAGAAAAACTCACATCAGTTTTCAAGGCCCTTGTGAGGAACAGCTATAGGGCTCTCACACAAATAGGATACTGAGGCAGAGAGACTTAGTTGTTTTTTTTTTCCTTTCCTGGTCACAGACCTTCCCTCATCCTAAGTTGCTCTATGTCCCAGAGATTGCCAGGCTTATGGTGGGGTAATGTCACCTCCACAACAATTGGCAGCATCTGCCACTGGTCTAGGGTCCCCATGGGGCACCACCAGTGTCCTGTCTGCCCCAAGCAGCTCTTTCTCAAAGGGCAAACAGAGTGGAAACCTCCCATCCCAAGGACTGTGAAGGTCCTGCTCTGATGAAGAGTCTTGATGTCATGGCTCAAGTTTAGACAATATTTAGAGAATTACATAGTGTTAACTAGGGACAAAAAGCAAGCAGGCAAATGCAAGCTTAAAAATACATCCTATAGCATTATTGTGAAACTCAACTAGATAGATTTTAGCTTAGGTAGCAGAGATGCCTAAGTTACAATAGAGGACCGAGATCAAAGCTTCCATGCATTTCTTTTGTGGGAAATGCAGCTGAACACACACCCTTGCTTTTTATAAAAATAAAATAAAAAAATTAGCCAACAAACAACTCAAAAAACCCCCCCACAAACCAAAAAAAAAAAATCAACAACCCAACAGCAACAAAAAAGAAACACCCACAACCAGTATTTTGTCATCTTTAGCCCTAGGTTCACAATAGGTATCTCCACCCCTGTCTCTCTAATGGGCAGCTACACATACTTGGCTAGGAAGGTCAGTAATATTGAGTATTACCTACCCAATTTGGCATTTGTTTATAGGAAGTATTAAGTAGCCTATGGAGCAGAACAATTCCCGCCCGAGGAGCTGCTCTAACCCATTGTAGAGTTATAGAATAAAGACACATTTGATCCTTTGGGAAAAGAGTTATGAAAATACATGGAAAAAATGTACTGTCCACGCATAGCTAATATCGTGGCTGTTTTCAATCACTTGGTTTCCTACAAAACAAAGGGGCTCACTGCACAATATGAACTCCTGGCATTGGTAGCAGCAAGGAAAGTAGGGAAGAAACAGAGTTAGTAGTATCTGGTTGGGGGTTTATATTTTCATAACCCTGAAATGCCTGAGCTCATTGCTGCCTCCCTCCCATCAAAGCCAAACTGGCTTCGTGCAGCCGCAGTGGTGGGAACCTGTCCCCGGAGCTGTGTGAGAACAACCGAGCAGAGCTGGGCTGCGTCAGGGTGGGAATGCAGCCACCAGCAGCTCCTGCAGAGGCTGGCTCACAGCCTCCAAGGGAGGGTGAAGCAAACCCGGGTTGTGCACAGTTTGGGGCCAATCCTTCTGAAAGGCCACCCCTTCTCCCGCACCCCCCGCAGAGGGAAGGCTTTGCAGGAGGACAGTGAGGCAGCAAGTGGTGGACACACAGTTAAGTTGCCCACGCTTCTCCCTGTGTTTTTAACTAACCTCTCACCTTTTGTTCAGATGATGAGGGGAATGG